AGAAGAACATTCTCCAGCTCCATCCATGTGAACATGAAGGATGTAAAGTCTCCATCCTTCTTAATGGCTGCATAGTATTCCATGGTGTACATATACCATAGTTTGTTGATCCATTCGTGGATCGATGGGCACTTGGGCTTCTTCCATGACCTGGCTATATTTTTTACTTTCTTAAAATGTATATACAGTTTTTGGCACCCTCTGTATGTGTGCACGTATACACATATATACACACATACATGCACACACATATATGTCTGCGTGTGTGTATAAAGCACTTGACATGAGGTCTATTCTCTTGGCAATACATTACTGTTGACTGGAGCTAGTATAATGTACAGCAGATCTCTAAGCCTTATTCATCTCATTTAATTAAAAATGTATGCCTGTTTATCCATGACTTCCCAGATCCTGGTAAGCACCATTGTAGGCTTTTATGTTATGAGTCTGATGACCTTAGATTCCTCATGTAAGTAGAACCATGCAGTACTTGTTTATCTGTGTCCAGGATTACTAGACTTAGCATAATGTCCTCAATGTTCATCCTTGTTGTCACATATAGTAGAATTTCCGTCTTTGTCTAAGGCTGAATAATAATTCCATTTTCTGTGTATGTTTGTGTATCTCACAATTTCTTCGTCCATTCATCTGTTGATGGACACTTAGGTTGATTCCTTACCTTGACTACTGTGAATAGTGCTGCAATAAACATGGAAGTGCAGAAATCTTTTTGACATACTTAGTTCCCCTCCTTTCATATAGACTTAGCAGTGGGATTTCAGGGTAATGGGGGTAGTTCTGTTTTCAGTTTTTGAGGAACCTTCATACTATTCTCTGTAATGACGTCACTAAGTTACATTCTTGCCAACAGTGTGCAAGGGTTCGCCTCGCTCCACATCCTCACCAGCATTCGTTTTTGCCTGTCTCTTTGTTCAAAGCCATTTAACTGGGGTGAGATAATATCTAATCGTGGTTTTCGTTTGCATTACTCTGATGACTAATAATACTGACAATTTTTTCATGTACCCATTGCTCGTTTGTATGTTTTCTTTTGAGAAATTATTATTTGATTTTTCCCCCCTGTTGAGCTGTTGGAGCTCCTTATATGTTCTACTTATTAACCCCTTGTTAGATGGGTGGTTGCAAAGATTTTCTTCCATTCTGTGAGTTGTCTCTTTACTTTGTCAATTGTTTCCTTTTCTGTGTGGAAGCTTTTTAGCTTGCCATGATTCCATTTGTCCAATTTTGCTTTGGAGGTGTTACTAAAGAAGTCTTTGCCAGGTATCTCTTTGACATACCAATTTCGTTTTCTTTAGATATACACCCAGAAGTGGGATTGTTGGGTCATATGGTAGTTATATTTTTAAGTTTGTTAAACTTAAAACTCCATATTGCTTTCCACATTGGCTGTGCCAATTTGCCTTCCCAGTAACAGTGTGCAAGAGTTCCAATTTCTTCACATCTTCACCAACACTTGTCTTTTAAAAAATAATACCCAGGGTAGAATCTTTTTAATGTGTTAACTATCTTGTTGGGATTTTAGTAAAGATTATAATATTAAAAGCTTGCAGGAGGATTTTTTTGGCTCCCATTTTAAATACAAGGAAATGTTGGCTTCAAGTGCTATAATACTTACCCAGGAACTGAAGGTCACGAGTTTGTGAAGTTGGGATGACGCTCAAGTCAGCCTGTTGCACACAGCCTTTCTTCTGCATTGGCCCATAGAATTAGAACAAGGTTAACACATCAGGCAATGAGTTTTTTATTTTTTTTTTCCCTTCAGCATGTGGATTGAGGGCCCTGAAGCCAAGGCCCTTCCTCTTGTCTTATTAGTGGGAAGAACCAGAGGAAAAGCTCTTCCCCTTTGTGTGAGGCAGTTGATGTAGAAACCTCATGACTGAGAGGCTCCTGGTCAACACATCCTGCCCCTGTGTCTGTCGCAGAGTTCTCCTTCCATCCCCGGGCTCTAGCCAGGTCAGACTGTGGGAGGGCCTGAGCCATGACTTTCCACCTGACTACCCTGCTGGGCCTAGGTGAGTTCTGAAGGAGGGGAGAGGGCTTGAGGGACAGAGGAGGCAAGAGGCTTGGAGAAGTTTCCAGCTCAGTATTGAACCCAGCTCAGAAGATTCCGGCTCCCTAGGGAAGGAAAGTGCCCCCACACCCAGGCTGCTCCTCGGGTCTCCCCTGGGCCTAAGTCTCACCACAGAAGACTCAGTCCTGGAACAGGCTCCTGGGAATGGGAATGAGTTCAGCTTTAAGAAGGGCTGAAGGAGGGGAGGACTTATTTTGAACAGGAGTCTCGGGCATTTATCTTGAAACCGTTTTGGAGCAGGAGGGATTATATTTAGACATTAATGTTGAGGAGAAATGATTTGGTAATTATGGGATGCTGAATGCCTCCCTGGCTCCATCAAGCCCCCCTCTTGATGATATCCCTGTAGGGGAGGCAGGTGGTGGGCATCATTTTCATTGGGGCTTCTCTTCCAGTGCTCTGCCTGGGCCAGGTGATCCACACGAAGGGGGGTGAGTCACTTCTTCCTGATTCCCCTGTAACCCTGGGGGGGCTCTGGATGGGAGCCATGTTGATCCTGGAAGGGTCTGGAAGGATTCCCTTATATGTACCCCAAATGGCAAACAGCCCAAATGTGTAGCCCTCACCCAGTTCTCTGTCCTATTCTCTACCTGTCTTCTTTCGTTTTTCTTACCTTTTAAAATATTACTTTATTTATAGTGTTTAATTATCCGTGTTTGAGTTCTTCATTGCCTTACACATATATACCACTAATATTATTATGGTTAAACAGATGATTTTGTGTTCTACATATATTAGTCCCATTGATACAAATATGTTGAAAACTGCATAAGAAACCTAGAGTTTTATCCAAACATTATTTTGGACCGACTTGTCATTTGAATGTTACTTTAAATGGACAGATAATAATTGTGTCTATGTGTGGGGTGCAACGTGATGTTTTCATGTATGTTTACCTTGTGAGGTGATTCAATAAGGCCAATGAGCACACCCATCCCCTCCCATGCTTTTCTTTTTTCTTGTGGTGAGAATATTTCAAATCTACTTTCCTTATATATTTTCATTTATTTATTTTTAAATCTACTTTTTCTAGCAACTTGGAAATGTACAATGAATTATTATTAACAATGGTCATTCTGCTGTGTGACAGATCTCAAAAACTCACTCCTCCTGTTTAACCGAAACTCTGTATCCTTCGACCAATATCTTTCCCTGGCCCCACACGCCCGGCTTCTGACAACAAGCCTTCGACTCTCTCCTTCTGTGGGTTCAACTTTTTAGATTCTACATAAAAGTGAGATTACGTGGTATTTATCTTTCTGTGCCTGGCTTGTCTCAGCACAATGTTCATTTAATCTATGTTGTTGCAAACAGTGGACTTTTCCTTCTTTTTAAGGCTGAATAGTATCCCATTGTGCACATGTACCACGTTTTCCTTATCCATTCAGTCATATCTTGGCGCTTGTGAGTGAGGCCGCCATGAACACGGGAGAGCAGACACCTCCTTGATACACTGCCGTCTCTTAAACACACTGATTTCCACAAAGACAATTCAAATCCCCTGGGACCAAGTCTGAGGCCATGAGTTTTCCCTACGGAAATCCAGACCTCACTCAGCAGCTCCTTGGCAGGGACTTCGACATCACACAGGCAGAAGCTGAGAATTTACCCTTATCCCGTTTTCTTCATTCCCTGCTTGCAATTTAACACCCAGTCCTGTCGGTTTCCTTCTAAATTTTTCTTGCCTTTCCTTCTCTCTTCATATATTTCTCCAAGCCAGGGTCTGCCCCAGCCCGTTGCCCACTCCCTTCCTGGCACCAGGGAGATTGTTATTTGTGTTGCAAAAGCACATGATATGATCATAAGAATACTTTGTAACAATTTGTAAAAGTTCTTGGAACAATTTTAATTTAATATTTTATTTTAAGTCAAAGTATTATTGTTCTTTAAAGCCCTCCCACTATTTATCTTCAGATAGAATCGAACCCGTATGTTTCCCTTTGATCTGAACACAAGCATGCTCCAGCCACATCCTGCCCGCATGCCACCTGGCTTACTGGTCTCTACATACCTCAACTTTCTTTCATTTTGTCAAATGCAACTTATTTTGCCCAACTCTGGGCCTATTCACACACTGATTTTTCAAAATGACTTAATTCATTTTTCAAATGGACAAATAAAAATTGTGTACATTTATTTTTATTTTTTTGAGACAGAGTTTCACTCTGTTGCCCTAGGTAGAGTCCATGGCATTCTAGCTCACAGCAATCTCAAGCTCTTGGGCTCAAGCCATCCTCTTTCATCAGCCTCCCAAGTAGCTGGGGCCATAGGCACCCATCACCATACCCAGCGAGCTCTTCTATTTTTTTTTGAAATAGAGCCTCAAGCTGTCGCCCCTGAGTAGAGTGCCCGGACATCATAGCTCATAGCAACCTCCAACTCCTGGGCTCAAGTGATTCTCCTGCCTCCGCTTCCCAAGTAGCTGGGACTATAGGTGCCTGCCACAACGCCTGGCTATTTTTTGGTTGCAGCTGTCATTGTGTTTTGGCTGGCCGGGCTGGATTCATACCCGCCATCTCCTGTGTATGTGGCTGTCACCTTAGCCACTTGAGCCACAGGCACTGAGCCACAAGTTCTATTTTAACAGAGATGGTGTCTTGCTTTTCCTCAGACTGGTCTTGAACTTCTGAGCTCAGGCAATCCACCTGCCTTGGCCTCCCAGAGTGCTAGGATTACAGGCATGAGCCACTGTGCCCAGCCCAAGAGAGCAGATTTTAAATGTCTTCACCACAAGAAAATGAATCCGTGAGGTAACGCACATGTTAATTAGCTTGACTGAGCTATTCAAAAATGTATACCCATATCAAAACATCATACTGTATACCATAAAGATATATAATTTTTATTTGTCAATTAAAATAAAACAATGAATGGGCGAACTGAACCCCTGCCAGCCTCTCTGCCTTTATTAGGGATTTTGCTAACTTTGACATTACTCTCCTGTTTCAGGGCTACAAACCTACCCTTCCTCTTCCACCTCCAGCCCAATCGAGACAAATGGGGTTTTCATGAGTCTTAATGATGAGGAAATGGAAATCAGACTGAGGGAAAGCAGATAGTATAGCAGGAAACCCAGAGATGATTGCTCAGCAGAAGATTTGCATTAGAACTGGGAACTGTTATCAGCTGGGCATCTCCTGTGAGCAGACCAGGGCTGGGTGCCTCCTCAACCCTCTCCAGACTCTCACAAGAGCTTTGCAATCCCCCTTCCCCCCTTACACAGTCACACCTAGGACCAGCCAGCTGCCCTGCAGGCCCCAGCTCAAGTCATCTCCAGAATCCTTACTTCCCTGTCTCTCATGAATGACCTGGTCATGTCACCCTCATTGTGTTCCCTTCCCCTGCCACCAGCAGACACACCTGGGCCCCAGGCTGCTTTGACACTTCCCAGGTGACCTTAAGCAAGGCCCATGATGTGATCAAGTCTCCAGGTCCTTATGTGAACTCAAGTGCATGCGGAATGGGTGGGAGAGGCAGAAGTGTCCTGAAGTCATGAGTGCATAGCTCTGCAAATTAGCTAACAATATTGGATTGTGAAACTAAGATGACTAGTGTGGTGTGATTATTTCCTCCAACTGGACCTGGAAACCTGCTGTGCTTGCCTCCTAGGGACCTGGCCCAAACCCTCCATCTCAGCTGAGCCAAACACTGTGATCTCTCAGGGACAGCCTGTGACCATCGTGTGCCGAAGCCCTAAGGAGGCTGAGTTGTTCCGCCTGGAGAAGGATGGTAAAAACTCTACATTTGAGGATGTTAAAGCTCAGCCTGGTGAATATAAGACAGAGGCCAGATTCCTCATCAAATCAATCAGTGAAGACACTGCCGGGCGTTATCAATGCCTCTATCACAAACGATCCTGGTCTGAGCGCAGTGATACCCTGGATCTGGTGATGAGGACCTCACCAGCCTCCACTACAGCAGCAGCTCTGCCCTCAGGTTTGTCCCCAGATCCCTGGACCTGTCTCAGCTACTGTCCTCTGTCCATAGACTCTTCTGCCCTCCCCTGAACCCAAGTCCTGTACTTCCTGCCCTTTTGCACACCCATCCCTTCTGTCCCCACATCTGCTTAAGTTCCTGGAGCACTGGTGTCATCTGGACATCACAGACGGTCTGGACACTCAGCCCCAGTATTAGGTGGGCACAGAGCTGGCACTGCTGAGCTGGGTGGGAAGTGGGTCCCCAGGGATTGGGTGGGGGCAGACCCTCTTCTAAAGAACCAGTGTCTTTTAACTCAAGATGGTCCCCCTTGCTATTCCTTTCCACTGAGCCAAAACCTGTGATGGCCCCAGGTCATGTGTCCCCTTCTGATATGATGCACCTCCCATTGGGCAGGTCACAGGGTCCAGGGATGGTCCCTGACCAAAACCAGGTGGTACTTTGGGGAATCTTTTTTTTTTTTTTTTTTTTTGAGACAGTGTCTCAAGCTCTCACCCTGGGTAGAGTGCCATGGAGTCACAGCTCATAGCAACTTCCAATTCTTGGGCTTAAGTGATTCTCTTGCCTCAGCCTCCCAAGTACCTGGGATTACAGATGCCTGCCACAATGCCCAGCTATTTTTCCTTTTTTGATTGTAGTTATTATCATTATTGTTTGGTGGGCCCAGGCTGGATTTGAACCCACCAGCTCCAGTGAAGTGGCCCTAGTTGCTTGAGCTACAGGCACCGAGCCTGGGGAATCTTTACCTTAAAACCATTTGTGTCCCTGTGTGTGATCAGTAACAGAGATGTCTTGGACTCAGGGTCCAGGGAGGAGGGTCACACCCACCTCCATGTCCTCAAAGGAGCTGCTATGTAATGGTTTCATGAGGTCAAACAGAGAAGGGTGGCTGGGGGAGCAGAAGGTGTGATCAGCCCCCAGCAGAGTGGCTGGTGAGGGTGGGCTCTCCCAAGAATTTTGTCCTACTACCCTGTTTTCTCAGTAGTCCCTGGACATTGTCTGGGATTGTAAAGGGCTAGGCATATTCTTTTTGAAAAAGTTTCAGAATATTAAGGGTGTACAAGTATTTTTGTACACGGATAGCCTCTGCAATGCTTGAGTTACAGTTATAAGTGTGCCCAGCACCCAAACAATGTTCATTGTACTTGTTAAGTAGGTTTTTGCCCCACCACTCCTCACTCCCCCACTTGATTTCCAATGTTTTACTTCTCTCTGTGCACATGTGTAGCCATTGTTGAATTTAATAGTGAGTACATGTGTTTCTTTTCATTCTTTAGATGCTTCATTTAGGATAGTAGTCTTTTGTTCCTTCCAAATTATTGAAAAGACATTAATTCATCCTTTTCTGTGGCTCAGTGCTATACAATGGAATGCACGCTCCACATTTTGTTGATCCGCTCATGAATTGATGGACACTTGAGATGATTCCACATCTTTGCACTTGAGAATTGTGCTGCTATAAACATATGAGTGTAGGTGACTTTTTGATAAAATGATTTCTTTTCTTTTCAATAGATACCCAGTGGTGGGGTTGCTGGGGAGAATGGCAGGTCTACTTGTAGTGTTTTGAGAACCCCCCATACTGTTTTCCATAGAGGTTGTACTAATTTGTAGTCCCACCAGCAGTGTCCAAATTAGTATTTGAGGAAAGAGCCAGTTGCAGTGCTGTTCTTTGGAGCCTGCAATCAGCTCTATCCCCTGGGGAGAAACACTTGAATGTCCCAGGGAGTGGGGGACCCTGAAGCTCCCAGGGGTTTGCTTGTTCTCCAGCACAGCAGAGGTGGGTGGATGAGCCAGGATGCTTGTGGTTAGGTCAGGCACACCTGCCTTCAGTGTTCGCAGAGGTAGGTCCTAGATCTGTCTCAAGGAATATAGGTTGGCTCATGACGCACTGAGGAAGGACACTGGGAAGAGGGCTGGAGACAAACCAGAAAGTCTTCTCCTCTCACGCACAATGGGCTGTCTGTAATTCATCAACCAGCCATCAGGAGTGGGTTTCACTCCTCTCCCCTGTGCCCTGAGCCTCCTTCCATTCTCTGGTTGCAAATGGACACCCAAAGTTGCTGAATTCACCAGCAATGGCACTTAGGCTGGGACTTCCCTGCTCAGGGTCCCACCCCTGTCTGAAAGTGTATCTTTCCTATGTGTTGATGAGAATGCCACCTGTCAGCTCTGCCCATGTGGGCTCCCTTGCTGCCTGAGTTTCTCAGATCTCCCCTCTGTGGCCCAAAGCCACTAGATCTAGCCTGCTTATCTGACCCATCAGCAGGTGTCTTTAGAAAGTGCCAGCAGGCAAAGAAGAGCACCCCTTGGTGACTGCAGGTTCTCAAGGGGAAATGTATAGGCCCCACTCTCTGTGGGAGCCTCAGACCACAGGACACACAAGTGAAGAGGTGACAGCCAATTGGAGGGTCTCATCTCAATTGTCTCTTGCAGCTGCAGAGGGCCAGATGCAGCAGGGGAGAAAGAGTCTGAAAGAGGGGGACAGTACTCCAGCTCTCCAGTGCCTCTCCCTGGACAGCAGCCCACACGGGATACCTATCCAAGCTCTGAGATCACACAAATTCTCAGGAGCTGTGAGAACTGCAAGGCCAGAGTTCCCTAGGGCAGTCAAAGGGAGGCTGCGAGCTGAGGGGCAGTGTGGCTCTGCCATCTCGGCTCTGGGCTGTGGCCATGGGAGTGACCCCGAAGGGGCTGGAAGCCCAATGCTTTATGCTCATGAAGGTGCCAGCTCAGTGGCTGCAAAAGACTTTGGGCTCTTGAGGGTGGAAAAGGTCCTAAGAGGCTCAGCAGCCCACTGACTCCCACAGGGAAGGAGATACGAAACCCAGTCATACCCCTGTCACTGGGCTCCCAGCTTCTCTGGGGCTGAGCTCTGCTGATATCCTTTTCATTCCTGCCCTGCTGTGTAGTTTCTCCCCATGAAATCTCTGGCAGGCTCTGGCCCATACCCCTAAGCAACACCTGAGCTGTGCCCACTCCCTTCTCCTTTATCTTAACCCTTCCCACCAGGACACCAGCTGGCAATCTGTGTCTCTAGTCAGCCACATTTGCCTTCCAATTGTGGCACATGTGACACTGGGCAAGTGTAGACTGCAGAATAGCAGGTAGTGTGGTGGGTCTTAGACAGTAGACAAGGCATTCAGGGAAGGATGTTCTGGGAAGGGTGAAGTTTTCTTTCCTTAAAAGCTATTGAAGATGCCACCTTCAGAGCAGGGGAGAGGAGGGAGCTGTTCCCAGAGGAGAGGAAGGTGAATGTTCCTGGAAGTGGCAGGTGTGCCCGGCACACCACACACTGCCTGCTGGCCGCAGGGCTCTGAGTGGCACGAGCATCTGGGACTTGATTTCCTCCCCACAGAAGGGCAGTCCTACCCCCACCCAGGGGCTGTGGTGAGGAACAAATGAAATCAGAGATAGGGAATTTGCACTCTGGTGGGGACCCAGAATGGAGGACATTGAGGGGGAAGTTCTTTCTCTTCCTAGCAATGGTCGGTGTCTGCAAATGTCCACAGAGGGCAGGGGGGAGCGATGTCCCACACAGCTTTCTGAGCAAAGATGCTGCCTTATATTGGCACTGTCCAGTAAGGATGTCATTTGTCATGTGTGGCCACTGGACCCTTGAGACTGAGCTAGTGCACTTCATTTCCTTTAGCTTTGATTAAATTCAGTGTCAGGGGTCACGTGTGGCTAGCGCTTCAGACAGTGCAGATGTAGGAGATTCTACTGGACAGTTCTGGTCTAGAAGCAGTGGGCCAGGTCCCAGGCTATGAAGGGCAGTCCCCACGGTGGGCACCAGGAGGACTGTATGCCTTCTCTGTACAGCTATGGCCTCTGACCCATCTCTTCTGGATCCGTCTTTCTCAGGACCCACACAGAAGCCTTGGCACTACAATAACAATGGTGGTTAAGTGATGGGGACATAAGAGCAAGAGCTTGGCATGTGCCTCTTGGGGAAGGGGGAGAGGACCGGGCTTTGGGCTTGGTCTGACTCCAGCCCTAATGATGGCTAGCTGTGTCCCTGTGCACAGGGGACATGGCTCTCAGACTCCTGCTGTGTAGGATGGGGCTAAGGATGCCTGTGTTGCAGACTGTTATGCATCTGAGAGATTTTATGTATTAGCATATCCACAGCAGGCACACGGCATATGCGAGGTATATAGTAGGTGCTCAATAGCCATTTGAGCCATGGTGCTAAAAAGCCATTTTCATCTTCCCTAGACACACCTACTTCCAGTGGCCTAGAGAGGAAGTATCTCTACGTTCTCATCGGGGTCTCTGCAGTCTTCCTCCTTTGTCTCTTCCTCCTGGTCCTCCTCCTCCATCACCAGCATCAGAAAAAACAGGGTAAGTCTCAGGGGAGTGTGGGGTGACTTGTGGAGGCTGACTGTGCAGTGCCTTCTTCCTTAATTTGGACCTCACCTGTCTTCAGGGTCCCCCAGCAGCAAGGACACAGAGCAGAAGCCACAGCAGAGGTGAGGCGCTTGGAAATGGCCCCCGGCCCACACCCTGTGCTCTGTCCCCCAATATCCCCTAATGCTCATTTGCTTTTCCCCTCAGGTTCAACCAGGCTGTTGATGTTCCTGAGAGGAAAGCAGGTAAGGGGGCAGGAGGGGCAAGTCAGGGGAGGGGAAGCAGGGCTTAGTGCCAGTCAGGATGCAGAAGGGGGAGGAGAATGTTTGGGAACTTTCTAAGAGGTTCTAGATTGGGTGCAGAACGGCACACATCTGAAGTTATCAGGCTGCTGATGGATTGGCCTTCTGACCTCCACCCCAGAGATCTGACTATGTGTCTTCTCCCCTCCAGATGTGGCCACTGCTGATGGACTTCCTGAGAAGGATGGAGAGGAGGGCATCCCAGTAAGTCTTTGTACTAGTTATTGATTTCTGGGTAACAAAATACACTCAATTTAGCAGCTTAACAAGACTGCTCCACTTTCTGGGGTCAGGAATTCAGGAGTGGCTTAGCAGGGTGGTTCTGGCCCACAGTCTCTCCCGAGGTTGCTGTCAAGGGGTCAGCTAGGGCTGCATCTACCTGGATGCTTCTCGGTGCTGCAGGATCTGCTTACAGATGGCTCATTCTGTGGTGCTGGCAGGAGTGTGGGGACTCTCCACAGCCACTGGCTGACCCCAAGGGAGGGATCAAAGAGAGGAAAGGTCAGGAACCACATCGCTGTTGCACAGCCTCACCTTGGAAGTCACGTGCTTTCACTTCCACCTTATTCTGTTGCTCAAATAGATCACCCTAATACCATCATCATGTGATTTCAGGAGGTGGGTGCTGGGGCCCTGGGAGGTGGCTGCCACAGTCCTCCATTCTTCCCCACAGTACTTCCCCTCTCTCCAGCCAGTGATCATTCACTTTGGATCTCTTTCCTCCAGACCTCTGTTGCAAGGAACTCCCAGGAGGTGACGTATGCCCAGCTGGATCACTGGGCCCTCACACAGAGGCCAGCCCAAGCTTCATCCCCGCAGATCCTGGAGCCTGTGGCTGAGTTCAGCACATATGCGGCCATTTCCAGAAACTAACCTCATGCCCACCTGGCCCTTGCAACTGATGACACAGGAAGTCACTCTTGGAAAGCCACGGCAGCGCTTACGAGGGCTCCCCATGACATTCATTCTGGTCTGGAACGCTGGCCAGTCAGCTCTCCCAGGGATAAGAGCTGGAGCCTGGAGGTCTCTAATCAATATCCAGAAAATTTATTAGCCAAGTGGTTTCTTCCACAACTGACCAGATAACCTGGAAAGAATGCATTGTGGCTGTTTCCAGAGCCCCAGCCACAGTCACCTGGTTGTTTCCAGAGACCCAGCTCCTGTCACCTGTCTGTTTTCAGAGCCCTTGGCTATAAGCACCTGGTTGTTTCCAGAGACCTGGCTACAGTCACCTGGCTGTTTCCCAAGGCCTAACTCCAGCCACCCAGCTGATTTCATGAACAGTGTTGTGATCTCCCAGCTGGTCCTAGATGGCTCCTGTGAACCTCCAACTGCTCTCAGAGACTCCAGTGTAATTAGGTGTTCAACTGACCTTACTGACCTTCCCAGTATTAATTGTTGACCTTGAGGCTGGGCTATACTTTTGCAACTGAGAGCTCAGGCCAGTTTCTCTGGGTCCTGCTTTACATTGTGCACCAGTAAGTAGTTTTAAAGCCTTAACATCTGGCAGCTCTGTGTTGGGCCCTGGGGTGCACAGTCACTTGGACCACATCTCTGCCTTCACAGTTGCTCAAAGCTGAGTAGAAGAAACAAGAGCTACAAAGGAGATGGCAGCTTTTTTTCTTAACTTTTTTGTGTTTAAGTGACCAAGATTGTATATATCCAAGCTGTACAATGTGATAATTTGCTATCCACATTCATTTGCAATGATTGCCACCATCAAGTTCATTAACACATCCATCACCACCCACATGAGATCTTCTGAACTTGTTCGTCTCAGGACTTGGAGCTGGTGTCAGTGTTTCCTGATGGAATGTGTATGTCAGGGATGCCTGAGGTAGGGGCTGAGAGGAGGCCTGGGTGGGGGCAGGCAGAGAGCCGACCACTCCTACCAATAGCTCCACACATGTGCATACGTGGGAGGATGCACTCACATGCACACTAAGGCAAATGCACACGTGCATACACACAGGCAAACACACATGCGTACACACATATAGACAAACACACATTCATATAGGCAAACATACACACAGGCATAACAGGCACACACACATGCATACACATAGGCACACATACATGTATATACACACAGGCAAACACACAGGTATACACATAGGCACACACACACATACACAAATACATATGTCCCAGGGGAGCCCTGAATCCATCCAGTGTTGAACTTGAAGCATCTGTGTCTCCTCCCTGCTTGAACAGTCAGAGTCCTTCCCAGATTAAAACGGAAAATTACCCTGCGTACCACTAGAGGGCGAGAGCGTCTCATTTGTGTTAATTTGTGTTGGGAACATAAACAACTCCCCCCCACCCCCCGCCCCCAAAAGAACAGGAAAAAAAAAAAAAAAGCAAGTCGGATGAGGAGACTCAAATGGGCACCTCTCCTGGAGATACCCTGCCTGGGCAGACTACACATGTAAAAAAATATATATACAAATACATTATTTGTCAATTAAACAAATATCATTCCCCAAACCAAATAAACAGAAACGAAACCTGAATGCCTATTCCAAGGCATGCATTTTTTTTTTTTTTTTTTTTTGATCTGATCACTACACATTCTACGTATCCCAAC